ATTATAAATATTATAAACATTTGAAAAAATCTTAATATATGGGGTAACACAAAAATAGCGCTTTTAAAGTGTAAAAAGTACAAAAATGTCTAAGACTATTTTGGCCATTTTATTTCAGAAAATAAGACAAAATTAGCGCTAAACTGACAGATAGATAACCTCAATTATTTGTTACCCAAATCAACATTTTAAATAAAATTATTTGAAAATGCAAAAACAAAAAAGCATTGATTCCCAAGCACTAGTTAATTAAAATATTAAATTTTTTGTTTTTTCCAAGGATTTCCTGAAAATTTGACAAAATTAGCACTCAAAAGTTAATTAAAATAATAAATTTTTTGTTTTTTCCAAGGATTTTCTGAAAATTTGACAAAATTAGCGTTAAAATGACAGAAAAATGTGGTGTGTCATTCCATGACAAACGATACTGAGGGTGAAAAAATAAATATGTTCTTTTCGCATTAAATCTGATCAATTTTGAAAAAAAACATTATAAATTACAATGCGCAACAAAAAAAATTAGAAGATTTTTTTTAAGTGAATTAGTCTTTAAAATCTTTACTCAAGTGAACTGGCTGAATGACCATTGTCCCTCTAATTATTGGAAATAAGAAAAAAAATAGCGGTCAATCTGTCAACCGTTTTGCCACGTTGATTAATAGAACTAATGTCATTTTGTCGTAAGCGGACAATTTATAAAACGAGCTAAGAAGGAGCGAGTTTTGTAATGGACGAGTGCGTCAAAAGGTCTTATGACATTTTGATATTTTATCTATTTTGCAAAAATTCTACAAAAAAATAATTTTATACCTTAAGTTTAATTTGGTCCAATTTTACTTTAGATAGTTGGTATCACAGTCATTGGTTTGACAGTTAATGTCAAAATCGATTCGCCATGCCGTCCTTAATTTACTTATTTACAATAAGCGGCTGTTAATGTTAAAGAAGAAAAAAAGAATTTTCTTTGGTGTTAAACAAAATTTATTGCCAGAAAAGTCTCGTAAGTACAGTTGTATTCATTAAAAAAGCGTACAAGAATTAGAATGAGAGAAAACTGTCAACATTATTGCGTAAAACCGGCTTTCCACTGACTTAAGTCACTATAACTGACAGTAGAAAATAAAAATGCCTCGTCAGTTAAAAAGGCTTAAATAGTATCAAGAATCAAAGAAGAATGGTCAATTCGTACTGTGGTATAATAGAAATAAAAAATCTATATTAAAAATTAAGCAACGCTGGGAACAGGAAGATTTACTAAACCAAAAAAATGGTTCAGGTCGTCCCAAAATGTCCACCCCTGAACAGGATGCTGCTTTTTTGAGATATCTGAGGATTTATGGCAAACTATACAACAATACTATACCTACTATACTGCTGGGAAGATATTAATCCAAATATTGTATTAAATTTAATTCAGTTCATCCCAAATAGATTGGCTCAAGTAATAGAAAAACAGGGATGCATGACTAAATATTAAATTTTTTTTAATGTTTGTTTTTTTCTTTATTAAAAGGTAATAATTTTTGTAATATTATTTAATTAACCTACGACGTCAATGCTCTTTATAACCTATAATAATTATTTTAATGACTTATGTCAGTGATAAGCCGGTTTTAAGCAATAATATTATTTTGACAGTTTTCTCTCATTCTAATTCTTGTACGCTTTTTTATTGAATACAACTGTACTAGAGAAATCATAAAAATATTATAACCAAAATGCAAATATTATGATGTTTAAAGTATAGCCAACCTATAAAATCAAAATTTTGGGTGGGATAAAGTATCTCATTACAGCACCAAAAGCGGTGTTATAATGAAGTCATTATGACCGCAAAGTAGATAAAGGTTTTTTATCGTAGTATTGGTGGATTGCCCGAAAAAATTGTCAATTTGACGTTATAAGTGTGTTTTCTTGTTACTTTGACACTGTAACACCTGAAACTAAAAATCAGCTAATTATTTCATTATTATACCTTACAGATTGATTAGTGTAATAATTATTATATTAATATTTACTAAAAGTAAGGTTATAGTGGTAATAGCAACTAATATCTACCCTTGCGGCCTTGAGTTCACCGTAAATTCACCGTGAATAAACCGTCTGTTTGTGACATTTGTAAACGGTAGTTAGACGGTGAATTCACGCACTTTTCACAGTATTTTAATTGTTAATCCACCGTATTTTTTTAATATCAAAAAATATTTGATTTCACGTGAACTCACCGTAAACTCAAGGCCGCAAGGGTAAGCATAAGACTAATTGATTTGTTTTTACTTGATTAAAAATCAAAACGTTTCGGGTGTTACAGTAATATTTTTAAGGCTGCTTTTCCGATGGTGTCGAACCAACCGAAATTTCGGTATTTCTACCGAAATGGCAACGGACCTATCAATACTGATTTTTTTCACCGATTTTTGGTAATAATGGCAATAACAATTTTACCCGTTTGGCCGATTTATCAATCGTACCCAAATCTGCTTAAGTTATATTAAAGGCGAATTCATTCTATTTATGTTTATTTGTTACTTACTTATTTTGTAGTACTTAGAGACTAATAAAACACCGATTTTGTCCATATAAAGTGTTTAATTTTTGTACTTGTAACACCCGAAACAGAACCATGGTAAAACCCGAAACAAAGTAAAATTTTATAAAAAAAAATATTTAAACGTTATTTGTGACAGTGATTATGTGGTAGATGGTTAGTAAATATTATACTTTTGGAGGCCTGTAATTTTTAAAAATACATAAAAATTTATACTTTGATTGAACAAATGTAACACCCGAAAAGATGGAAAAACAAAATAGCACTCAAAAGTTAATAACTTTACCCAGAACCAGATTGATCTTGTGCACAAACCTAATTCTTATGCAACACGAGTTCCGATGTCTCATTTTCTCGTTAACTATGCTTTAGTCAAACATCGTTTTTCACACTAGTGGTGGGGATTAACTTCTGTTCTAACAACATAACCACGTGCCCCATGGAGGAAGTAGAGTCCAGCTAAGGCCCTTCGCATCCATGCCAACGGCAGTCAAGTGCCGGCCTCGAAACCAACACCTCGTATAAAAAATCACACATGCAGTTCATATCGTATGTGGTTGCGTTGCGATTGTTTTTTCTGCAGACGTCACTTATTTGATGACGGGCTGATAAACCAAACACTGAGAAGCAGATTGCCACACCGCATTGTTAGAAGCGAAGTGTTATCTTGTGATTTTTTTTTATTGTAATTTTTTCTATGGAAGGCTAGGGAGGCAAGATGTCGGCATAGCTGACTGTATTTGAATTGCGGCTGTGTCCCATCGGGCCATCTTATGTCCTCCGCACTCACCCGATCTGAACCCCAGACTATTTTTATAGGTAACTATATACTTTATTATTCAACAGAAAATAGAGATAACAGGTAATTTAAAACCAAACTTAACATTACACTTTAAATTGCATTTCAAAGTCGAGTGTTTTTAACTACAGATTTGTTAGTTTTTATTGTTGAAACAAGCAAACTCGTTAAAGTGCTAAACAGTTAATTAAATAAGGATTTTGGGTCAGTATTAGAGGTGATAATTTTAACACAAACATAAGATTCTTCTAAAATGCAACTAATTGTATTAATACATTTCAAAGCCTTCAGTCTGCTGCGGTTTAGATTAAAAATATTATTTTAAAAGATAATTTCAAATAAAATATAAACCAAACAGGGTGTACCAAAAATGAGGCAGGTTTAAAAATTATAAATAAATAATTAAGAGATTTAAAAGAGTTTCAAATAGGTACTGTTAATATAAGAAAATTAGATGTTAACCATGTCAGGTAAAACCTACATTGTGGGACACCCTGTATATACTTTTTACTTCTAAACGATCATTAAAGATAGGTTTTGAAATTCCAAACAAGTTCTAATAAATTTGATGGTTTAAATCAGTTGTTGCTGTACTATTTCATCTGATATTTTATTTAAGACTTGTCAACATTTTTTAATTCACACCACGTTTCCTTGGTATTTCCGTTGAATTCTCCCACATTTTTATGCTAATTTTGAGCGACAACATGCTCAATGAAACTTCGTGTATTTTTTTACAAGCGATTGTCTTCAAATTGCCTGACATCATTTATTACTTACCGATTTAAATTTCGGTGTTTGCGACAAATTAATTTGTTCGCGAATAAATTATTTTGAGATATTTTAACAAACTGATTAAAAAGTTTGGAAACATGTTAAGCACATATAATAAAATTGTTTACCGAATTTTTGTGTAAAAGCCTTGGAAATATTTAATATTTGGAAATTGTGTGCTCAAGATTATGTTATGTTCAAACATAATAATTATTAACTAATTAGATACTTACCTATGTATGTAGATACCGGGTTAATAGATTTAATAAAAAATGTTTGTGGATTTTAAATTTATTTCCATAACAATAACATATATTAATATTTTACATTGCAATTAATATTTAAATAATAATCATATAAAAATGGTGTTGATATTATCACAAAATGTAACATAAATTGGTTGACAACATATACCGTATAAAAAATGTCTTTTAATTAATTTGATAATTTAGAATTAAACTTCCCTTTGTATATTTACAAAATATATTTTACTTAAACTACTATATGAAAGGATATAAAACGATCTATACAACCTACAAATAAATAAATAAGTCTTATACAAAAATTGATTGGTAATTAATTTTATTGATTACACAGTACAACACGATTTTCCTCCCATGAAAAATGTTAACAAATTTAAAAAATAAAGGTTAAAAAAACTACCCGTGTCTCAACGTTTCACGAAATCACGTCATTTAATTTTTGTACACAGCCATTCTTATTATTTTAACCTAAACAGATTTTTAATTCTCTATTTTGTTATAAATCATTTTTTTCTTCAAATATATATAATAATATACATATATGTATGTTTTTACATAATACAAAAATTATACCTAAAGAAAATAACAATTTTATTTTTTTTTTAAGTAAAAAAAATATTTCTGGTTTTAATTTTTTGATTTTTTTAAATAAAACAACAGATTTGTATTTATCTTATATTAAATATATGTTGAAAACAAATCTTGATCTTTTAGTTTGACGATTATACATTGCTTTCGAATCACAACCTAAAAACACCGCTTGATATACAGGGTGTTTCACATTCGTGGTCCATTGAAAGTTTCTGGAGAACGGAAAAAAAAAACGGAAAAAAAATTTTACTCAAAATTTTATGTAGAATTTAAAAATGTTAAAATATATGGGGTGTTCCATTTAAAATAACAAAGTTGATGTCACTTCCGGTCAAGCCGGAAGTGGCATTTTGTTTAAAATATTTTAGAAAAATAGGCTTAATTGAAAAAAATATGACTTGATCTGAAAAAACGCCGAGACCACGGTATCATATTTTCAAAATCTATAGAAATTTTTCATGGGAGGAAAAAAAATCAAATTTTGTCGTACTGTGTTATAATTATAATTATAATTAATTAAAACATACCTATTACAGTACACAAATCTCAGCTTGTCTAATTATCACCTGAATAAAGCACTATTAGGCATGTATAGGTAAGGTATTGTAAACCAAATGTTGGCAAAAAAATCTGTATTTTTTGGTTAGGTGGGATATGTATGTAATTGACCTCTAAAAGAAATTCTTGAGGTATAAAAATGTACAAAAAAAATTTTAATACTTTTTACACAAATAGTTTCCTTAATGGTTCCGATTAAATTAAAATAATATCTTAAATATTGTTTTTATAGCTGGACGGATAAAATTGTTTTTATACATCAAGAAAATCTACTATATTTTGTAAGCCTGTAAAAATCGAAAACTATTCTAATACTCCTAATTAAAATTACTACATCTTCCTTAAAACCCAAAATTTATTGCTTTTCGAGATAATAATATTGTGGAATTAAGGAAGATTCAACATGTGAGCAAATTCAGTATTACTACAGTTGGCACAAGGCAACATTTCGAAAAAATTTAAGAATTTTAAAAACTTGGTCTAATGTGTATTCTATTGCGAATTTTATAAAATTACCTAGGTATAACTTTGAATTTAGGCATGCACTATTTTAAATTTACCGTATGTATATGCAATGCTGAACGGATTTTATATGGAAGAGTTCATTTTATTTTTAGGCCACCTTTAGCGTGATAAATAAAAAAAATTGTCTTCGGATCAGTCGCAGAATTTATAATGGTAAAACTGTAAACATACCTTAAACAACTAACTAAAATCGTCCTTAGAGAATCCAGGATTCGTACGAGGCCGTCCAGGATGTGACAGCAGTCCAGTGCGGGAATTGAGACACCAACTTTTCCAGGGCTTTCGTCGTTTTTCCAGGGCCAAATAGGTAGTGTGACGTCACCGCAAAGTCCATTACGGGGCCTTTGTGATTTTGAGGGATCTAAATAATAATATTAATAATAAATATGTGGTCATAAAGTCATGTGTGTTATTTTTTCTTACCTTAAAGTCCATGGAGAACCTCAGTGGAACTGGTTTTAAGCCGTAGGCATAGTAAACGAAATATGTTTCCCTATTTTTCCACTTTGGTCCTGCCAAAGGACTTGAAGTTGGTATGCTCCATTTATCCAGACTTACTCCAGGTACTGGAGATATCATTACTCCAATATGAGCTGGACCTATGAGAGATATTAAGCGTAACAAAATAATTTCTATTTTTTAAATAACTTTTTAGGATTTTAGTAATGAATAAAGAGCTTAATTCACAGTAATTAGTAAGTAGTTCGGAAAAATTGAGCCAGCGAAAAAAATCGTTTTTTTCGGGAAATAAAACAGAAAAATTGGTAAATTTTCAGAAAAATTGACCTAATGCAAGTTAATTTTTCCGAAAATTTACAAACTTTTGCGGATACTATCCGTACACTGATATCGAGAAAAAACTGAATTTTCGACGCTGAATATAATTGAGATTAAGAACAGTACAAGTCCAAAAGTCAAAATGTTGATAAAATATTTCAAAAAATTAGTTTTATACTTCTAAATGTATTTTTGTGGGAATATTTTAACTATTTTATAAAATATAATGTTCAAATTCTGTAAAATGATTTATATATCCTCACAAAAATGTATTTTAAAATCAATTATCAAAATTGACTGTTCTTATTCTCACTGATTCAATTATAATATTATGAATATAATCATAATATTTTGATTATAACAATTATTTCTTTTATTTTAATTCAGTAAGAATATTCTACCAGGTCGCAAAAAAACATAACATAACATAACTTTTGTTTTATTTCACACTTCGATTTATAAAATTATAATTTTGTATTTTAACTTTAATCATTCATTATTTTGTAATTTGATGGACTTCTTTTTGCAAGAAAGACCCAACCGACAGTATACTTTACGTTTAATTTAGTTTAATTTAATGTTTCGTTTTTTTTTTATAATGTTAAGTAGTTTTATTAAAATAATGTTAAGTTGTTAATTGCTACTTTTTTCAAATGTATATTTCCTAGAAATACAATTTTTCTCGATAAAGACAATTTTTCCAATGCCTCTGAAAAAACGGAAAAAACAGGTTTTTTCCCTAATTTTTTCGTTTTTTTTTTCGACACTTTAAAACCCTAGTAGGTACACAATGAGTTTTTAAACCTAACTTTTTACCATAAAGAGACGTAAATCCAATTTTTGGGCTAATCAGATGACTCCTACTAAACAAAGCTCTTTCAATCTCACAAACACATAAAAATAATATGATCTTAGCCTTAAAAAACAAAAAATGTGTTGCCTAATTAGATTATATTCTTTAACTTTAATATCACCCAAATACTTATACTGAGTAAGCTTTGAATAAGGAAGAGAGAGGAGGCGTAATCAGAACGTTGAAAATGTGCCAGTTGTGAACCAAAAAATGGCATCGAATTCAAGAATTTAAGCACATAGGTTATGTCAAAGAGGAAACGTCAAAACCATAAGTTATATGGTCTAAGTAAAACAGATAAAAGGGTAAGGTTGCAGGAGGTTTTGTCAATCAATTAATAAAATGAATAAATAATTACCTGAGATCTCCACGGTAATTCTCTCTCCACTATCGATCCTCTCCCTGCTTAAAACCGTCATGTTAATCGGATTCAGAAGTTCCGGAACCGGCCCGGGCAGCCAGTGAGTCTTCCAGATCATCGTCAGAACCGGCACTAAATACGGCATGCCGCAATACAAATACCTATCGCAGTCATCTTCCACCAGCACGGCGTTCACCATGTCGGGAGCGTACCTGTCGATGGGGATGTTAAATCAATAAAAAAAATGTATCGATACTTATCGATAATTTTTAAATAATTATTGATAATTATCGATAAGTATCATTAACTACCCCTACCACAAAATATTTTATGTGATTTTAAGAAATATTTTTAATAATCACAAATTGTTCTTAAAACCAAATAAGCAATTATTATAATTTTAAACAAATAATAAAAATAAATTTTGGTGTGCTTTTTAAACCACATTATCAAATAAATGAATATGAATTTAAGTAGGTACGTTGACGAGTTTTCACTAAATATAGGGATCCTAGGATATTCCATAGACAAGATACCACTAGACGTATAAAGTCTAATGTTTCGCTTCGTTGATTTAGTTCATAAGATCCAAAATCGCGGTTTGTTTACAGACAGCGGGTTTAAAATCCCGTGGATGTTGAAGAATGTTTTTGCAACCAGTTATACGTCTAGTCGTTTCTTGTCTATGGGATATTCTTACTCTTTTTTAACTATAGTACTATAGACTAGGGTGTTTCAAAAAAATCGACTTTTTCTTTTTCTTCAAATGGTCGGCAAATTCTTTCAGAGGATGTCAACACAAAGACCTCGTCAAAATTTGAGCTTTTAATTTGAAGATTTAGAGGTCGCGGATCGCAATTTTCTATTTCCCATTTAAATAACATAGGAATTTTTTTTTTTAACTTTGAAATTTTATACGTCTGAATCAAATCAACTTATTTTAAGGATCATCTTAGATTTTCATAGTAAATTTAACGCTCTACAAAAAAGGTCTCTTATCATTTTTCTATAAATTGATTCCTTCCAGAGTTATTCGAGGCCAAAGTTTGATTTACATCGAATTTTCGCGTTTTTTTAACATATATGGTACAATTATCATTATACGGGTGCCCCGAAATTAGGGGGCCAAACTTAAACAGTGCATTATTCGTATAAAAATAACACTTTTTTTGTTTAATAAACATGTATCAAAAAATGCTCCCTAAAGGAGCTACGGCCCCCTGAATAGGAGCCTAAGAGGATACTTTTTTTTAAACTATTCCTAGAGGGTTGAACATGAACAAATGAATTTTCGGTACTTTGGTAATTTTGACATGCTGAATCTAGATCTACGATCAAAACTGTTAAAATTTAATCATAGGCGTAACATTTGGAGGGGGCAAAGTTACAAAAATAGCCCCAACTTTTTCCTGGGTTAATAATTTAATTTTTTTTATGAAATTATGATAATTTATAGTTTTTTATGAAAAATAGGTACTCTTGATTTGAATTGCTCAGATGCACCATTTTCGAGAAAAATGCATTACTCTGCATATTATACACATCTCATATTTTCATTAAAACTTTGTAGTAGGCTTTGTAAAAAAGTGACGTTTATTATAATATGTGATTTTTTTACTACATGATGTTTAGCAGTTAAAAAAACGAGAAAATTCGATGGAAATCAAACTTTGGCCTCGAATAACTCTGGAAGAAATCAATTTATAGAAAAATTATAAGAGACATTTCTTATAGAGCGTTAAATTTACTATAAAAATCTAAGATGGTCCTTGCCATAAGTTGATTCGATATAGACGTATAAAATTCCAAAGTAAAAAAAAAAATGTCCTATGTTATTTAAATGGGAAATAGAAAATTGCGATCCGCGACCTCTAAATCTTCAAATTAAAAGCTCAAATTTTAACGAGGTCTTTGTTTTGACATCCTCTAAAAGAATTTGCTGACCATTTGAAGAAAAAGAAAAAGTCGATTTTTTTGAAACACCCTACTATAGACTATGACTATAGGTAGAAACGTACCAACAAAATAAGCGGAAAAACCCGATAACAAAAGTAAATTCGGAAAATAGAAAAATATATAAAAATTCGAAGAATTTTTATCGATAACTATCATTAATTTAAAAAATTATCGATATAAATTTATTTAATATCGATATAGTATATTAAAGAACTAATGTCATAAGACGTCATTTTGTCGCACGATGACAATTTATAAAACGAGCGACGAAGGAGCCAGTTTTGTAATGGGCGAGTGCGACAAAAGGTCTTATGACATGAGTTCTTTATGCTATTTTATCTATTTTGCAAACATTTCATAAAACAAATTAATTTTATACCTTATATTTAATTTGGTCGAATTTTACTTTACATAGTTGGTATCTCAGTTTGAAGTTTGAAAGGTCATTAACCTTTCAAACATTATCACATTCTTTCGCTATAGCGTCCTTAATTTACAATAAGTATTTACAATAAGCGGCTGTTAAGGAAGAAAAAAGGATTTTCTTTGGTGTTAAACAAAATTTATTGCACGAAAAGTCTCGTAAGTACTAGAAAACAAATCATAAAAATATTATAACCTATAGGTATTCAAAATTGTATTTTACCAGTAGCCAACCTATAAAATCAAAATTTTGGGTGGAATAAAAAAAAAAAAAAAAAAAAAACATCCCTACCTGTCGACAGTGTGCGGACTGTTGATGTCCATATCAGCGAACCAAAACCCGGAGGACTGCCCGGAGACGGCTCCGGTGACGTCGTGGAACGTCCTCTTGGTGTGCGCCATCATGAAACGCTGCGGGGCCAGGGATCCGGGCTCGCCCGAGTAGGGGAACCCCAGCGGGGTCAAAATCAGCAGAGCCAAAGAGATGAGGAATATCCCAGAGAGAAGGCTGAAAATGCGTTCCACCCTTCTGACGAGCAAAATTATGGGCACCGCGAAGCTGATCAGTTGGGCGAACATCGTGCTTACCATTAGCGCTATGAGTAGCTCCGCGTGGCTACCAGCGCCCGCTCTACCCATTATAGGTATGAATAAGTATAGAGCGCCTATGATGAGGTAGAAACCTTGCACGAACGGTAAGCCCACCATCGCTATATGCAGCAGCAACCATTTTGGATCTAGAAATGGATTTTTAGGTTTTAGGTAAGTACTGTAACAGTCCCTAGCCAACTTATTAGACTCACAATTTTTCTTTAATTTTGTAAATTTCTAAAATAGTGTATCTTCTCAGAAAACACATAATAGTTTTTCCGAAATTATTGTGTTTTTTAGCACGCAACGTATTTTGTAAAGTTGTTACCCCTGATAGCACAGTTTATTCTAAGAATGTTTTTTAAACCTTCCAGTGGGAATATTCTTAAGCCGGTCATACATCTGACGAAAGTTTGCATTCGTTCGCGTTGCCGACGAATTTTTGTCAGGTGTAGGAGAGGATTCGCAGCAAGCGGAGGCGAAGAAAATGGGTAGCAATGCGAACGAAAGCGCTCCATCGGTTGTCGGTTTATTTAAAAAGATCAAAGGGAAATCCTACCTGCGAACGAATGCGAACGTTTATATGTAGGCGAGAAGAATTAATACAAGCAAAAATTCTTGCTTTAATCATTTGTTGACAGTCACTGTTGTCGTGTATATGTAGTATATTGGTAGCTTAATTATCGGTAATAATACTAATAATAACCATCGATAGCATACCTACTTATATTATCAGTTATCTAACCGTATATTTGTCTACTCATCCAAAAATTCCACGCTTTGCCAATGTTTTGTAATAATTTTAATTTTTATATATATAAATAATTTTATAATATATATAATAATTTTATATAAATACACCAAACTACTTGTTTACTGGACATTTCGAAACGGCGTATACACACTGACGAATGCATGGAAAGACTGTGAAAGACTGCGAACTACTGCAAACGCTAGAAACTTTTCGTATATGTGGGAAGCCCCTAGAAACGTTCGCTCCCGTTTCGAGCAAAGCTGCGAGCGGATGCGATTGCTGGCAATGCGAACGAATGGAAACTTTCGTCAGATGTATGACCGGCTTTAGGATCATGCTATATTTCTTCTAGTCATGTTCTAAGAATGTTTTTTAAACCTTCCAGTGAGAATATTCTTAGGACTTCTTCCAAAGAACATGCTTAAAAGAAATATAGCATAATCCTAAGAATATTCTCACTGGCCTATAGGCTAGGGTTGCCAACTTTTATTTTGGGATTTTCTGGGCAAGGTGATTAAAAATTCTGGACACCGGTACAAAATTATGGACATATTTTATTTGAAATTTTTTTAACTTGGTAAAACACATAACTATTTTTTTTATGTTCGTTCCCCATTTGGTGTTTTTTTAAATCGCCTTTGCCACCGGAAACCCACTTGAAATGTTTTTTTACAAATTTTGCAAAATCCTCTCGATAAACCAGTGGAAGAACTGCCGTCTTCTGTTACCCATGGAAATTCTGCTTCCCATTCTTTTCTATACTTGCACAGACGCCTAATTTTTTTTGTTTCTGGATTTGACAAGGATGACGAGATAAGGATGACGAGAATGACATAGTGACTAAGTAGGTACTGTCCTATTTTATTCTAAAATTATATCAAACAATATAAAACGTTCTAATAAATTATACAAAAAATAGTCTTACCTTTTAAGAAAACTAAATAGGTCAGCAGCAGCAGTTCCGCAGTATTCCGCACGTTAATTGTCACAATCAAACGATTAATTAAACAAATCGATAATTATCTTATGACAACAGTCGTAAGTTACTTATAAGACAGGACTGGATTATTCTCGATAAGTGCTGTCTTTCTCGCTCCTGCCTTATGTGTAAGAAAGGAGTGTGAGTGAGAAAGAAAAGAAGCATGGTTTCAGCCTTTCACGCAACGCCTACGAAAAAAGTCGAGCGCGCACGAGGCAGGCACGAATATTTAAATTCTGGCGGCACGAGGCATGGCTGGTACAACGTTGTCGGATTGTGGAAAAAATCCTTCGAAAAAATTGAAAAATGTGCCAACGTGAAAATTATGAACATTTTACGTCCAGCCAAAGGTATTGACTGGACGCTGGACAAATGAGCCGAAAAGGTGGACGTCCACCCAAATTCTGGACAGTTGGCAACCCTACTATAGGCAGGTTCTTAGAAGGTGCAAGCATTGAGTAACACTTTACTCAATGGTGCAAGGTTTAGTGGAAAAAATTAATCCACTCTAAACATATGCTTAGAATGTTGAGAAAGTAATTGCTATAGAAAGTTCATTTAGGAATATTCCTGGAACATTCTGTTAAGCATATTCAGTTCAGTTAGGTACCTATATAATAGTAAAATATACCATTTACCTTTAGTGAGCGGCTGGTGGATTTTGGGCACAACAATATCTCAGTTATTAGACATGGGACCCACATCAAATTTATATGAGTTTATAATGACATTATATAGACAAGTTCTGCGCAAGCAGAATTTAAATTAAAGTTTGCGAAAAAAAGTTAATTTTTAAGTGCAACCCCCACCCACATAACACAATATGTTTTAAAAATGTTATCAGGCCGTTTAGAGAACAATATTTATAAATATAAGGTTGATGAAATGTTGTACAAACATTCAGGGGAAAATATTTTTATAACTGTTACGCGTAAATATATCTAAAACATTCATAAATATCATGTAAATATTTTTTTACATTTATTTCGCAATGTTATGTAAATATTATATCCTAAATATTGTTGAGTTATTTAACAATATTTATAAACTTTTTGAAAAGTTAATTCAAAGTTTTGTGATGTCAGCGCCTTTCAGTGACTGTGTCGGCTTTTATAATCTATGGTTCGGCCATTTTTGCTTTGTTGAGTGTGTTTTAAGTGTGACGCCCTAGAAAAACCTGTGTGCGGCGCTAATAATAAATTATAATGTATTATATATCCAGATTGAGGTATGTATTATATTTATTTTTATTGTTTAGATTATTATTACTGTTTATGAATGGCTTTGTTATCTATGAATGGTAGTGTACTAAATCACGGCGATACGGTACCGTGTTATTGCCACCCTATTGAAGACGATTATTTTATCGGTAAAACTCTTATTAACAAAAATTTTAAAACCAGATAAATTAAATTATTTTTAGCCTCCATCCGGAAGAATCCGAAAACAAATAATGCGACAGAAAACGAAATTTTAGCAGAGTTTGAGACAATGGTTGGCCCAAGATAAATTTAGGAAAAAAAGTAAATAAGAAAAACCGATACTGAAGAAAGAATTTTTTTGTGATTCTTTTTAAAGAATTTTTGTTTTGTTTATTTATATAGTTGTATATTTTATTATTTTATTTAATATAATAATAATAATTTGTTTATTTATATCAATTATTTTTAAAATAAACTTTTTTTTTATATTGTTTATTAAGAACTGTACTAAATTTTCTTGTATTTTTAGCGTTTAAAAAATATATATCTCTAGCTATGGTATTTCACTGTTTTACTATATCTGCTATGAGAATACACATCTACTTTTTGCACTCCAAAAAAGAAAATACAGTACACAAAAAGTATCGGATGTCACACGGCTTTTATAAATGGGGCATTCCACGTTACTCGGTAATTTTTGTCCCGGCCGTCACAATTGAAAATTGTGAGTAAAAACCCCACGTTATTAAATTTATTTTAAAATATTGTTTATAAGCTTATAAGCACAATAAAAATAATATTATAAAATAATAATTTAATAACTTGTGGTTTTAACTCACAATTTTTAATTATGACGGGCGGGACACAAATTACCGAGTAACGTGGAATGCCACAAATATAAAAGAAACATTTTATCAACATTTACAACAACATTGTTAAAATATATATGCAATAAACTGTAAATATTTCGAAAATATTTTCAGATATTTTTGTGATGTTGAGAAAACATTAATAAAATATAAGGTAATGAATATAAAACATTTACAAAAATGTTTTAAAAATGTTGTGGAAAAATATTGTATAAATATAAAAAGTGGGACATCTAAATTTTGTAAAAACATTTTAGAGACATTTAAATGAAAATGACTAATATTTCTAAAATATTTAGTTCATTTAGCAAAAATATTCATTTAATATTTTATATATATTTTTGTGTTATGTGGGCACCTCCTGCCCCTCCAAATTAAGATAATTCAAATTAAAGTGGTACAATATTTAATTCACTGAAGTTTATCAAAAAATTTCAAATTTTATTAAAAAAATTCAAGAATTACAGGTTTTATACCATTTATAATTTTTATTATTTCTTTTACTAAATTTAAAAAAAATTGAAATGGTATAAAAATCTGTAATACTTGAATTTTTTTAATAAAATTTGAAATTTGTCGATAAACTTCAGTGAATTAAATATTGTACCACTTTAATTTGAATTATCTTAATTTGGAGGGGCAGGAGGCTGGGAGTTGCACTTAAAAACTAACTTTTTTTCGCAAACTTTAATTTAAATTCTGCTTGAACAGACCTTGTCTATATAATGTCATTATAAACTCATATAAATTTGATGTGGGTCCCATGTCTAATAACTGAGATATGGGTGTGCCAAAGGTACCTATACTTAGTATTAAATACTAAGTAAAAAACACAACCCAAAATATTTTTTTATAGTTATTTTTCAAATTAAAACAATATTCGATAACAAAAATACTTTTACTATGGGTATCTAAATTATCCGGCTTTTACATAAAATCTTCTATCCAACTTAAATACAATGAAAAATGTTTTTTTTATGAAGAACTATTTGGTTTTTTCTTTTATGAAGAATTATTTTATAAGGAAATATTTTGTTTTTTTTTATATTTTATTTTATGTTTAAAATAAATATTTATTAATTTGTATACCGATTTTTTTTGTCTGAATTAACATTTTTATGTATAATAATCCTAACTATCTTCAACTTCAATCTAATCTGACTTATCCCACAAAATTTTCCAATTTTACTTTTTATGAAATAATGTCATACAACTTATGGTTTAGAGGTCAAATTGTTATCCCGATTCTGTTCATAAAATCAGTTCAAAGTTTTAAACTGCCTTTTTTTTTGAAGATTTGGACTATTTTACAAATTCCCAAAATTAAAGAAAATTTGTGAGTGAGTCTAATAAATTGGCCAGGAACTGTAAAGTAAGTTTGTATTACCTCTCCATTTTCCAAACATTTTAGATTTTAATATATTACCAATGGATACAAAAAATACCCACGACAATGCTATAAAACTGGACCGTATCCTGAAGAGTGTGCCGAAAATTAGTACTACCGTCCAAATGAACTGATAAGCGTCATAGTACATTTGAAATACTAGCCATGGAGATAGCTGCAGATCCTACAAAAAAATTAAACATTTTTATGCAATAAAATGATTTAAGAAAGATTAATCAAAATCATAGCATTTTTTGGCAACTATTTAGTTTTAAGAATGCCTAAAAAGTTAATTATTTTTATCTGGACTGCGGCAACGTTGCAAATTTAGGGTTTTGGTTGGTAAATACAGTTGCCAAGTTGGTCGCATTGATTAAAACAAACTAAGCTAGTTATAAATCTAATTGTGGTTATGTATAAATTATTGTAGGTTACATTGTGCAGTTGTCAAGGTGAGTTGTCGAAATTGTAGTTAAAAATGCAATTAATTTGGCTTTGGTGGTGCTTGGATGAGTAAAATCATATAAAAAAGTAGTTATTATTGCTTTTCGGCCCAGAAGAGAAAGTATTCCTAGCGGATAATAAGCTTCGCTTTGAAAAGAATTTATATAATAGAAATTAAAATCTTTTGTGGACGTAAATGTTGTCCAATGGTGAATAATGTGTGATGTAATATTTATAAAACCAAATTTGTTACTTTTTTACTCCAAAAATGTCTATAAGGCGATGTACTTTTTCTTCCATTGTGGCATTTGGCATAATTTTATCAAAATGAAGTTTTGCCCTCAAAAGGGCTTTTACATTCGAATTCGTTGCTATTATTTTTGGCATAATTATCTTTTTATTTATAATTGAGAAGTAAATTATCAATAATAAATATTATTGTCAATTTGACAGTGCCAAAGTACTTAATTAAATTCTTTAGAAGGAGTGCCATTTTTAAGTACTAAAAATACCAAGTCAACTGGCATAAGCCACCAACCTAACAAAAAATGAACTGTTACCACAGACCAACAAACAAATGGACCGGTTTATTTACATTGAAAAGAGTGGAAAGGAACAAAAATAAATAATTACCCTCAGTTGTCACATCTGACTTTATTTGCTTTGAAGTATCTATATTTTATGTAAAAGATACTTGCAATCCACAACTTTTATTTGATTTTATAGTGAAAAATACCAATAGTGAGTGATATAAAAATGGTGAAGCAGTGCTACGTTTGTAAAAGACATGGATCCAAGAATTTAAAACTTTCGGTTAGGTTAGTTTATTTACAAAACAAACAGTGCCAAGGGCGTAGAAACTGAATAAATAAATGAATTCACTTAAATTTTAGATTTAAAGAGCCAGATTCTACATCATCTGGAACACTAACTGACAAGGTTAGTATTTTGTTATACCTATATATTTATATATATTAAATATAATTTTTACATAGGATTGCAAAACACAATAAAAAATGTACAATTTAATATTTTTATTAATCCCTAAAAACAGAACGCCACTGGTGTGGGAACTTGTTTATAAATACCCCTTACTTCTTTACCCCTAATCTAAATAGTTCTTGGCAACAAAACATTGTGTATTTTGAATGGGAAAGGCCAGTCCATTTTGTTTGTAGGTCTGTGACTGTTACAGTAGGAATAACTTGAAATATTTGACATGATTGTGTAGTTACTTACCTTATGATAATATTTGGCATGCAGGAGGATCGTAGCCATGGACACCAGAATGGTGGGTATGACGTACAAGAAAAATGCCCACATCGGTCTTGCGTACCAGCTCATTGTGCGGCCAAGACCGTTCAAAATGCCGGCCAGACCGACGGCCGTAAGTACCGATAATAACCACGATACGAACACGATCACCACGCATCCCAGTAACTTTTTGTTAAATTGCCTTTGCTTTAAACCTAAAATAAAACCGAAAGGTTTAGTGTAATCAACAAATAGTAAAATAGTAATGGGCCTTTTCATCTCAAATCGACCAAAAGGAATAAGAAAGCGTATTTTTTGTTTTGTTTACCCGTAGGAAATTTTCGAAAAATGGACAAAAACATAGTTTTTCTTGAAAAAGCTATAATTTGGCCAAAAATGTTTCGATTGTTACAATTTTTTTTTTAATTTTAGGTAAATGTTTACTACACTCCCAGGCAAAATAATCGATCCACACAAATTTTTGATGAATTTCAATTTTTGATGAATTTCAATGGCAAATAACGGATTCAAACAAATATTAAAGAATATTGTAGATACATTAATGGAGAATCGCTCACATTTTAAAAATTACTAAAAAATACAAGTACGTTTAAACAAAAAGATGTTTTTTACCATAAGTTTAAGACACTCTGTAGAGTTGCAAAACCGTACATTGTTCTAAATTAAGTTTTAATTATCAAGTCACATCTATTTTTAACCGTTTTGTTTTTGGTTCACCTTGATATATTTATTTTTGTGGAAAATATGGATTTTTTTTAAAAAACATTGCAATTTCCAATATTTTTCCTGTATAAAGAACTATGGTCCATCCATAGCCTATGGAGGATGACAGTGACAGTTTTGTTGAATCATCCCATACTTGGACATGTCATATACAGCTTTCAAAAGCTATAAAATTGTTTTTTGTAAAATAATGCGTTAATTTTGAGGTGTCTTCATACTTTTAAAAATGTTTTCGACTGATGTTGCCCTTTGTACTTTAATTCTTGTAACGTTTAAAACACTTGCCACGTAATACTGTGACCCTTCATCCTGGATTAAATTAATGGCTCTGGCAACATCAGTCGGAGACATATCCATTTTTTAAAGTAAGAAGACACCTCAAAATTTAAAAATTAATTTGCAAAAAACAATTTGATAGCTTTTGAAAGCCGTGTATGACATGTCCAAGTAAGGGATGATTCAACAAAACTGTCACTGTCATTCTTCATAGCCTATGGATGGACCATAGCAACCTTAGTTCATCATACAAAAAAATATTGGAAATTGCAATGTTTTTTTTTTAATCCATATTTTCCACAAAAATAAATATATCGAGGTGAACCAAAAACAAAACTGTTAAGAATAGATGTGACTTGATAAATAAAACTTAATTTAGAACAATATACGGTTTTGCCACTCTACAGAGTGTCTTAAACTTATGGTAAAAAACATATTTTTGTTTAAACCTTATATTATAAACGTACGTCTATTTTTTAAAATGTGAGCGATTGTTCATTAATTTATCTACAATATGCTTTAATATTCGTTTAAATCCGACATCAAATAAACAAGTTATTTGCGATTGAAATTCATCGAAAATTTGTGGGGATCGATTATTTTGCCTGTGAGTGTACATGCAAGAAATATAAAAAATTAAGTGAATACGGTAGAAAACCGTGAAAAAAACTTCGTTGAAAAAAATAACTGCCTGGTCGATTTGAGATGCAAAGAACCTAATCTTACTGTCAGTAACTTCAGCTTCTTTGGAGTTGTTGTAAATAGAGTACAATGAAAGTATCACAGATAGAAGGTTGATGACGTCGGCGACCAGCATGGGCCAGCGGATGACAAACGCGCCCAGAAAGTCGAAAAACACCAGGTTCCCCGCGCGATATTCTTCCACGTTGGAAAGTTGGTGACCCTGCGCCATACCGCGCGCCAACGCCAAAATGTTGTCGCCGGTTCGTTGCAACGAACCGAGCGGAATTTGCTCGATGGAGTCAAACTTCGTGTGGTACACGTAGCCATTTGCGGACCACGCGAAATCCAGGCCTAGAAAAATATTTTTGGTACTTTTTAACTTGACACCAAATAGGTATGTTGTCATCCTTTATCATTTTTACATTTTTTTTAAATAAAAAAGTAATTAAAATTTTTATAGGTAAAGTAGAAATTTTTGGCCGCCACTGGTTGTTCTTGACCTATGATAACTAACGCAAAATATGCTTGCACAGTGGGCAATATCTACATTCATTAACAATTTACATTTTTGTTATCATTGATTACTTTGTTAATAATGTTTTTTTCTTTTGCATACTCAGATATTTTAAGGTAACAATACTTATTATTCTGTGGTTTTTCCGTAGATTTTAAATTTCACCTTTCACTTTTTACGTCCATTGATGCTCATTAAAGTGTTCCACAAAATCATAAAAAATGTATTGATAGTTTTCTTAACTACAACTTAGTTTAACTAATTTTGGGCCGCTGATTTCAAAAATGTAATTAGTTTTTCTCTAGGACGTCTAGGATTTAAAATAATTTCGTAATAAAATGCTCTGCTCAATCACCTCAAAATGTAAGTTTTTTGTTGGTATTTTAATTATTTATTAACTTATTTTGGCTTAAATTTATCTTGAATGTACTAAAGTAATTGGTATACTGCAAATAGATCATATTTATCTTAACAATATGACATTTTAAATAATAAAACTAAAATTTTAATGTATTTTATGTAAAAAACAACCATTATTTGACATTTTTTGTCGTTTATTTTAATTATTAAATTGAAAGGGCAACAAAGTCAACAAGTTTCAGTATTTTTTATCCAAATTAAGCCCTCAAAATTTAATGCATAATTTTGCTTTTTTCTACCTTAAATTTATTAAATCGTATCAAATATCAAACTGGATTATAGTATAGTGCTTAATCCTCATCATCGTCAATGAATACAACTTCTTTCCGCTATTACTTGGTGAAATCATTTTCCATGTTCATCAGTTCGGCAAATTTATCAGGAAGAAAAAAAAAGAAAATGTATTTTAACGCTAATTGTTTGCAAAACGGAAAGCATTTTTTCAATAAATTGGCGCCAATTTTAGGCCCGATATGAACCAATAACATTTTCAATGACAGCTTTAACACTGCCATATGCTACAAGCTCGTCAACTTAGAGAGCATTTTTGAATGCTTAATCTTTCATTAAACGTCGTATATCAGGTCCATATTCAATATTCCTGCAAAATTATAGTAGGTATATCTTATAAAATTTTGTAATGAAATATTGCGTTGGTTTTTCTTGGGCGTAAAGGTACCGCAACAAAAACAAAACAAATTTACAACGACCACATAAATGTTCGTCTCCTTTCTCTTTCTCTGCTACTTCCATTACCACTTCCATTTCCTGCTCTTTTTTCATTTTTGGTTTTTAAAATCACTTTCAAGTAAAAATACAATTTAAAGTTTAATTAAATTTTAAATGACAATAATTAATAGATGCACTTTAGTGTGCTTGAACGATAAAGTAGATAAAGGCGCCTTTATTCTTTAATTCGATATTAAATTTTAGTATCTAAGGAAATTAACCGTAAGATAAAGTTAACCAACGATTGAAAAACCGGCCCTTAATAAATAAGATTCGAGATTAAATTTTTGGTTACTTTAGGCATGATGTGAATAAAAACATATCAAATAATAGTCGAAGAGTAATGCTTATACCTAAACCCATTTACTTTGTTGCCTTTTTAATTTAATTAGTAATTAAAAAACAACACAAAAATTTAAAAAAATGGTACTTTTTACCAAAAAAAAACCATAATTTTAGTTTTCCCTTATATGGGCGTTTCTCTGTAAACTGGGCAACTCATTGTCTCAAGCTAATATTGTTTAGAAAAATAACAGATCATAAATATTTCGTAGATAACTTCAAAAGATAATAACCTAATCTACCTATGCTCGACGTTCAAAATCCAATAAAATAAACTTTAATGTATCAAAATCGTTTTTATAGTCCTTAAAAACCAGTCCCCTGACGTGTCACCAAAGCAAAATGGTCACTTCAGACTAAATTAATTAAAGACAGTAACTATTGGAATCAACCTAATTGTTTAATTATTCAACCAATATTGTTTGCTTGTTACTGTGACTTATTTATTTTTTATAATTATTATTTTGTAATTCTAAAAAAGTCATCTAAACTTTGTCTCCGGATTTTATAACCAGTCCCCTGTATAGATTTTTCAGAAAATGCTCAATGTTTTCCAAAGTAATAGGACTATTTTTGGTTCATCTGCCGTATACTAATAAATAGACCGATATTTATTCCTCGAATATCATTTATTAAATACAACAAAAATATAACAAAAAAACTTGCCTAGACAATTTCTTACTTCAAGTTGCCCAGTTTACAGAGAAACGCTTATATAATACTACTATAGTAGGTATACGGCTACAATGGAACAAACAAAATTTTTATTTGACATTTATCTACCGATGACTTTGTATGGAGTCCCTGTATATTTTTTACAAACGTCAAAAATATACTGAACATCCAAAATAGATGTAATGCAAAATAATTTAATAAATAATCAAAATATTAACAAAAAACTTACATTTTGAGATAATTGAGCAGAGCATTTTATTACGCAAATATTTCGAATTCTAGACGTCCTGGAGCAAAACGAGTGGCATTTTTGAAATTAGCAGCCCAAAATTAGGTAATATAGGTGGGCGTACTCAGTTAGTAAATCGAACTATCATAGTGTTATCATTGTTTTTAGAGGTAAAAGCAATGGTGATATATAGGATGGGTCAGTTACATCCAGTGGCTCCCTGGTTTTGTCAAAAAAATTTCATATTTGTTTTATTAAAAAACAGCTCAAATGCAATAATGATGAGGAAAAACTTTCTTGTTTTGACGTGTACTATCATTCTCCCAAAGGATGACACTTAATTAGGTGACACCCTGTACATACCTGAAATGTTTCCGAAATCCCTGAAGATTCTGTAGTCAGTGTCCCCGGGTATGACGCCGCTTTGAAAGATTTCCTGTGCCAATGAGGATGCGTATGGATAAGGCACTTCTTCGGAATAGGTCTCCAGAATCCAGGGGTGATTCGGCCCCGCCTGGAACAGCACCTCCCTCCCACCAGCCCCGCAAGCCTCCAAGTTTATAAATGCCCTCACCTAAGAAGTGTTTTTTGTAATTTATTTTTCCTCCGTGTTATTTTTTATTCAGAAATTATTCTTACGTGTTCACTAAAGTGATAAATTGAAAATATCACTATAGGGTTAACGCACAAAATTAATTCCTGAATAAAAAATAAAACGGCGCCCCATATCCCACCATGTTTAAAACACATTATTGTAGGTATATACACTCAAAGGCAAAATAATCGATCCACCCAAATTTTCGATGAATTTCAATCGCAAATAACTTGTTTATTTGATGTCGGATTTAAACGAATATTAAAGAATAATGAACAATCGCTCACATTTTAAAAAATTACTAAAAAATAGACTTATGTTTATAATATACAGGTTTAAACAAAAATATGTTTTTTACCATAAGTTTAAGACACTCTGTAGAGTGGCAAAACCGTATATTGTTCTAAATTAAGTTTTATTTATTAAGTCACATCTATTCTTAACAGTTTTGTTTTTGGTTCACCTAGATATATTTATTTTTGTGGAAAATATGGATTTTTTAAAAAAACATTGCAATTTCCAATATTTTTCTGTATGAAGAACTAAGGTTGCTATGGTCCATCCATAGGCTATGGAGAATGACAGTGACAGTTTTGTTGAATCATCCCATACTTGGACATGTCATACACGGTTTTCAAAAGCTATTAAATTGTTTTTTGCAAATTAATGTTTAAATTTTGAGGTGTCTTCTTACTTAAAAAAAAATGGATATGTCTCCGACTGATGTTGCCAGAGCCATTAATTTAATCCAGGATGGACGGTCACAGTATTACGTGGCAAGTGTTTTAAAACGTCACAAGAATTAAAGTACAAAGGGCAACATTAGTCGGAGACATTTTTAAAAGTAAGAAGACACCTCAAAATTAACACATTAAATTACAAAAAACAATTTGATAGCTTTGGAAACTGTATATGACATGTCCAAGTATGGGATGATTCAACAAAACTGTCACTGTCATCCTCCATAGGCTATGGATGGACCATAGCAACCTTAGTTCTTCATACAGGAAAAATATTGGAAATTGCAATGTTTTAAAAAAAATCCATATTTTCCACAAAAATAAATAAATCAAGGTGAACCAAAAACAAAACTGTTAAAAATAGATGTGATTTGATAATTAAAACTTAATTTAGAACAATATACGGTTTTGCCACTCTACAGAGTGTCTTAAACTTATGATAAAAAACATCTTTTTGTTTAAACCTCTATATTATAAACGTACGTGTATTTTTTAGTAATTTTTAAAATGTGAGCGATTCTCCATTAATGTATCTACAATATTCTTTGATATTTGTTAAATCCGAAATCAAATAAAAAAGTTATTTGCGATTGAAATTCATCGAAAATTTGTGTGGATCGATTATTTTGCCTGTGAGTGTATATATATATATATATATATATATATTTACTTTAACTAAATGATCTTTTAAATACACATTGACAATCTGCGACTTTGCGTTTAAATTTGGAGGAAGTCAATAAATAGTATTCATACGCAACAATGTGATGATATATAAGTTCTTTAAATTTAATAATAATCCAATAAATAATTAACAATAATTAGGTTACGCGTTTCGAAAATACTTTATAAATAATAAAACACACAAATTAAAACTAAAATTGCAGTAATTTTTCTTACCTCTTTCGCCCATTTGTGTTGGGTTATGAAACCGTGAGAAGCAGGCATGAAATTTTCTTCGCCGCCGTTGAATAAAAATATCACGTTGTGCCTCAAAATTTTGTCTGATTTCGATAACACCCGCAATATTTCCAACATAACGGCACAACCTGCTCCATCGTCACTAGCTCCTAAAATGTTTACAAAAAATGCCCTTTAATCAGGATTTCCTTGTAAGACAAGCACAACAAATAATATGATAAAAAACAAAGTACAAATAATGTTTTATTGATTTTGGCAATGATTCCCATTTTTAGAAATTATTTATATTAAAAAAGCTTAATTTAAAGAAAATTGCACAGTAAAAACCATTTATGTAGTCTTTTATACAAACATAATAAGTACCTAATTACTTTAATTAAAAGGCTTAATTTTCCTTTTAAAAGATAATTTTTAACTTTATTTTTCTTGCCTTATTTTTACTGTTTTCTTGTTATATTAATGAGCAATTTGCTTGACATATTGTACACCTACACATTTCTTTATTTTACAATATAGTTAATGATATTTTTACTATACTATAATATGAATTATAAATTAGGAACTTTAAAATAACAAGTTATAACATATTATGTGTTTTTAACCATTTCCTTTATATTTTACAGGAATAAATGTTGCATTATATAAAATATTAATTATTCAAACGTTAGTATGGTATAATAAATAAATGCATCAGATTATAATTGTATTACATAGAAGGTATTTATTTACATAAAACCATAAATCATTATTAGACCCAATGATTTATGGATGTGTATGAGTACCTACTACATAAATATTAACATTAACCACAAATATTTATTTTTATATACAAAATGAATATATGTATTGGAATTTGTAAGAACCTTATGTACATTTATTCAAATTATTTAGGTCCAAACCGCGAAAATACTTTACAGTAAAGACAATTTTGACTGACATTAAAAAATGTAGTTTCTTATTATCTATTTGGTAGTTTTAAATATTAAAGTCATTATTTATTTACCATATATGGTAAATAAATTATAATAATAATAATAATAACAATAATAATAATCTTTATTGCCCAACAGATACAAGATCTAATAACAGGACAAAATATAAAAATTATGACTATGGCACGCCGTTTTAACATTTATTAAATAATTTTTTAAATTAAAATTTTATTGGTTTAAAATTTTTCCACAATTCCACAGTTAGTAATTATAGCGTTATTTTTACGTAAATTTGTGGTATTTATATTGTTTTTATTACGTTATTTTCTTAGTAGATCAAAAAGGTTATTATGTAGGTAAAATAACGAAATAAACCATTCCCCAAATTTGGTAATTTTTCGTATCTATACCGTTTTAAAACCGTTTTGGTTAACCGTAAAAATACTTTAAAGTTGACTTAGTAGTAAATTTGTACTTATTTTAACTTAAAATGCTGCTTGCTTAAAGCTTAAAGTTTTACAGTTGTATTTTAAATTTAAAATATTTTTTAAATAATAATATTAATAATAATAATTTTACTAATCCAATTGACATAGATAACATACATATGTATAGGACAAGTCACAGAAATACAATACACGAACTACAAAGTAAATATACTCGGAAATACCTACAAATTTATCCTAAAAACTTATTCAGTTTATAAGGACATTCCTGAATTAAAAAGTCTTTCAGTTTTCTTTTAAAATCATTATAAATATTTGTTTCCTTAATATAATTTGGAAAATTGTTAAAAATTTTGATGTCAGAAAAATAGGGTGACTTTTAAAAAAAAAGAAGTTGTGTGTCTAGGAACACATAATCTTGAGCCACTTCTTGTGGAATATGAGTGAAAATTACTATTAGTTGGGAATTTTCTTAAGTTATTAAAAACAAACTACATAATACTATATAATATTATATAATATTATATAAATTCCATACAATGTTAGTAAGCCCTACCTGCAGGTAGGTTAAACATTATTAGAATTGCGCGCTTTTGCATAATAAATACTCTATTTGCTGATGTTACTCTTCACCAAAAAATAATATTATAAGATATATGCGAGTAAAAAAGTCCATAATAGGCATTTAAGAGTGATGTATAAGATAGACTGTTGTTTAGGGCAAAGTTTGAAGCGCTCAGTTTTTGGCAAAGGTTATCTGAGCATCCACTATTATTGTTGAGAAAGTAATTGCTATAGAAAGTTCATTTAGGAATATTTCTGGAACATTCTGTTAAGCATATTCAGTTCAGTTAGGTACCTACACTGTTCAAAATTTCATGACCATTTTAACACCAAATTAACACCATACATGGTCTATATCGATACAAACCAAAATGGTGTTAAATGTGGTCCGTTGGCCCGGTGTTAATTCAAATACTAAAATGGTGTTAATTTAACTTTCACACAGTATTAAAATAAATTTTACCTGGTGTAAATTGAACTCCTTTTTAGTGTTAAATATTATGTGTTTGTGGTCAAATTAAATCATACTACACAGAAAAAAGGAAAAAAAAGGAAACAGGAAGTTCCTTGATGCATTACTAGTATATTACCAGTGCACTGCACTGCAGTGGTATTATTACCAGTGCACTGCACTGCAGTGGTATTATTCCAGAAAATGGAACCTTCAACTCGCTAGAGATAATGATTTTAGTGCGTTCCACTAACTTAAAATACTTCAAGTAATGACAGCTGTTTCCACCTATTTAAGGTCTCTTTAGTATCAAACAACTTGTAGTGTCACACCAAAGCAAAGGATCACCTCAGTTTATATATTCTTTATGTAAGTCAACAGAGGCGAGATTTAAGAACATCACGTGATCCACACCGCCTTTGCCGCGATCGGTACACATTTTCAACCATAATTCATGGTGTTATATTAACACCACTTGGTGTTGGCTTTTGACACTATTTTAAGATTACTTTTTACACCACAGATATTTTAAACAGTGCATATAATAGTAAAATATACCATAATCTACGTACAAGTATAAAGGTACCTATACTTAGTATTAAATACTAAGTAAAAAACACAACCCAAAATATTTTTTTATAGTTATTTGTCAAATTAAAACAATATTCAATATCAAAAATACTTTTACTATACTGCCGTAGTAAGCGCAGAAGCGGTAATTAACATAATGGCTGTCATGAGATATTGGTACTTTTATGTTAATAGCTCTGCCAACTCAGTTTGGTAACAGATACCGCTAAATATAACTTGATATTTCAATCATTTACTGACAAAATACCTATTTAATACCTTATTAAAGTAGAGATTTTTAACCCTAGTTTCATATTGCGGGAAAATGTCAATTTCCTTTAAATGTGCAGTTACCGCTTCTGCGCTTAGTACGGAAGTATAGGTATCTTAATTATCTGGCTTTTACATAAAATCCTCTATCCAACTTAAATACAATGAAAAATGTTTTTTTATGAAGAACTATTTGTTTTTTTTTATTATTTTATAAGGAAATATTTTGTTTTTTTATATTTTATTTTATGTTAAAAATAAATATTTATTAATTTGTATACCGATTTTTTATTTCTGAATTAACATTTTTATGTATAATAATCCTAACTATCTTCAACTTCTATCTAATCTGACTTATCCCACAAAATTTTCCAATTTTACTTTTTATGAAATAATGTCATACAACTTATGGTTTAGAGGTCAAATTGTTTATTTAATATTTTTAAATAAATATACATTAATATGTCGCAAAATTTTTTAAGGGGAAGACAAATACATTTCACTGTCATATTATGACAGTGAGGCATATTTGTCGCCTCCTGAAGAATTTTACGAATGTAGAATCCAACATATTAGAACGTGGGTATCTGACATATTTGGAAATATTCTCAAAAGCTTCCTAGAAGCTCCATAAGAAACCTTCTAAGAACATAGAATGCTTTTTAGGAAGGTTTTAAGAAGCTTCTAAGAATCTAATTGCATCATTAAAAAGGGTATCTATTGAATGTTTTAAAAGTACCTAAGGACATTCTTAGCAATAAGGGAAGGTTTTTAAGAATATTTCATTATTCCGGGTCATATCTTCTTAGAAGATTCTTAGAATCAAATTTTGCTAACAGGGTTTACCCATAATAAATTTAGGTATATCATTTATATAAATTGAAAACTAAAAAGGACCTAGAACCGAACCCTGAGGAACACCTAGATCATTTTTCATAGTTTTCAGATAAGGAATTGTTAACTTTTACTTTAAACTGTCTATTTGACACATATGATCGCAACCATTCCAAAATTTTCATCATTTAAGTGCTAAACAATTGTTTATGGTTGAGATTTCGTGGTTTGGGCGTCAATGTAGAGTTTCTTTATCTTCGGGAATATTTACAAAGTAATGAAAGTAATAAAGTAAACATGAATTGATTTTAGATGTGAGATATTTTCGCCTATTAGAAATACAGCCTTTTAAACAAAAATTCCTTACCTAGACTGTCGACGACTGTGTCAAAGTGACAGTTGATGAGCAAACTGTGCGACGAATTGATCTTCGACCCCACCTTGACCACGACGTTCTGCAAGTCCTGATAAACGTTGGTCATCCCGTCCAGAAACTCCAAGTTGAAAGCGCCGCTGGCCTTCTGGACGTCCAGCTCGATAACGTGATTCCCGTTCTTCTCCCTGATCACGCGGTTGATCTCGTCCTTCAGCAGATTGACGGCTTGGATCTCGTTCTGCGGGCTGCCCGCCACCCGGGGCCCGATCTTGGTCAGATTAAATTTACACATTAGCGACTTTTCCGAAAAACGGACTGGGGGTTGCCAAAATGCAAAAAATATAGTAAATTTAAAAGTAAACTACGTACACGTCATCAATCAGCTGATCGGGCACGGTTGTCAATGTGATGCTAAAATCCTTGCATCAAGGGAAACTGGTAGGGCGATAGATGGCGTTTACATGAATAATACCAAAATGTCAAAAGTTTTTATAACCTAATGATGCACCGCCAAAAGTATGTTTTTAGCCATTTTTAAAGACATTTTCTGATATAAAACCCAACAATTTTGCCATCTAAAGTCAGTCTCTGGTATATATATTATTATTTTATGTATCCAACATATATTTTGTTAAATATTCTAATATATATAATTAATAATAATCCTATTTACCTCTCTAACAGCTGTTAAAGGTAACAAAGGTCCATTATTATCCCGTTCTGCCTCAAAATAGCGTATTAAGGATGACACCAACTCTTGACTCCGACTATTTAAATGCTTCGGCATTTTAAATATAGGAAACACAAAAAAACGATATATAACAAACACAAAAACGGCAATGAAAACTTAAACGATATAAAATAACACAAACAACAAACAAAATAAACGAAATAATACACGAATTAAACGAAACATTCAAAAACACAACTGACAGCTTCGAAATTCTAAAACGTCAAATTCTTTTTTATGTTTCATTTAAATATGAAATATTTGAATGTAAATATGACAACATCTTAATTGTTGCCAACTGAAGATGTTTAAAATGCATTCAAATATTCAATTACAGACTTCGATTTAGTCATTTAGTGTTGGTACCAATGCGTAAAATTTTTGTTTTATTGATGACGTGTACGTAGTTTACTTTCATAGATAACTTTTAAATTTACTATACGTGTGGAGGGATGTAAAAGTGCATAAGCAATCGGCGCAGGGTAAAAAAAGTATAATTATCACGTAATTAATAAAAGGGGCTGATAATTGAAGTGACTTACAGTGATTTTCTGCGAAAAAGAGCATGTAGCGAGTCAAAAACACGTATCTAATAGACGTAGAATTTGAAAGTGAAGTGAAAAAGCTTGAATTATGAAAAACAACGTCATAAATTGCGGAAAATGCAATTTTTAAAATCAGGTAATTTGAGGTTATGCAGTGCCTGCCCATAGATATATTATACCTCTATTGCTCAATGGGGCGGGGGGGGGGGCAATGGGGCGGGGTCGGTTGGGTTGGGTTGTTAAGTTTGGGTTGGTTTGGGTTGGTTTGGGTTGGATTTGCTCACCTTTGCCCATTTTAGTGTACCTGCATAACCAAGATGACAGCTAATCGTCATAACCTCAAATTACCTGATTTTAAAAATTGCATTTTCCTCAATTCATGACGTTGTTTTTCATAATTCACGCTTTTTCACTTCCACTTTCAAATTCTACGTCTATTAGATACGTGTTTTTGGCTCGCTGCATGTTCTTTTTCACAGAAAATCACGGTAAGTCACTTCAATTATCAGCCCCTTTTTTTATTAAATACGCGATAATTATACAACTTTTTCACCCTGCGCCGATTGTTTATGCACTTTTACATCCCTCCACACCTATTTTTGGCATTTTGGCAACTTTCCTGCCGTTTTTCGGAAAAGTCCCCAAGCAGCATTTTTGGTTCCAAAAACCATTGCCAAAGTGGTGATAACTTTAAATTAGTTAAGTATACTAAACAGCTACTTTAATTTTTACTTAAAAGTAATTCTAACTTTTAAATAGCAATATTTTGTAACAGAAACTTAATTTTTCCTTAAATTGTTACTATAAAGTAATAAACATTTAAGTAAAACTTGGTTGCCCCCAAGAAGACTTTGCAACTTTAAAAAAGGTGTTATAAGTAAAAAAAACTTTCAAGTAAATTTAATTTGTAGCAGTTACTTTCGGTTGCTACCTAAAGATTACATTATAATTATTTTTCCTTTGTAGTCCCTTTGCAAGTTAAAATCTCGAAACTGGAACATGAGTTAAAAACTGCAAAGTTAATAACTTAAAAGTTATTATTTTAGTATTTGGAACGTTTATGGTACTAACCAAAACAACCGTAAAGTGGAAAAAAACTTTAAAGTAGCGAAAACTACTTCAAAGGAAAATGCTTCTTATCGGCCATTTTTTACTGTACAGTACCACGTGGTAATGTAAATAATAAATTATTTTAATTGTTTGTAAATGGTTGTTTACTTTTTAATAAATAGTAATTTTGCTGGTAATAGACGGTATTAATAATTAAATAAAAAAAAATAATAAATATTAAGATTTTTTAAACATTACTAAATAAATAATTTGTTTATACTTAAATTTTGATGAAGCGCATTTATTTTACAAAAACTAAATTCATAAGTTCAACAGTAAAATTTAAAGGGTTTATAAATTTACCTGTCTAATTAAACTTTATATTGTTATTCTAGAAGTTATAAACTACCAGTACATATTTAATAAACGACGACATTGAAAAGCCAAGTCCGTAGTGATTCCATTTAAGAAAGGAGGGATAGTATAAACTAATATAAGTTTGACAAAGACAGTTAATATAGAAGTAAAAACAAATAATAAAAATAATTATAACGCTCTAGCAACGATATTGGAACGTTCTAGTAACGTAGCAGCTACGTTCCAAATAGTAGCAGGGTTTATAGCTAGTGACATATTTGCTCAATAATTGTTCCCCACTAGTCGTAACTTAGTAATAAAAGAGTAATATAAAGAGACCGGCGACTGTCGCAAAACACTTAAAGTTTCTTCAATAGTCCCATATACGTAACAAATACTTAAATTGTTGCTTGGGTCGCTAAAGTGAAAATTTACCTTGGTCAGCTTGTTGAGGATGTTGTGCGCCCGCTCGGCGACGAATCGGTCCTTGTGCTTGGTCTCGTCCACGATTTTCAGCCCCAATGGCAGCTGCTTCTCGATGATGATCACGGCGGCGAAAACCGCGACCATGAGGCACAGCACGCCCAGGAAGTGCTCGGTGGGCATCGGTCGGTAGAATTTCGCTTTTTCATCGTCGTCCTCGTACGATTGCAGTTTTAATGGGGTTGCGAATCGCTGTTTTATTGATGATTTCTGTAAGCATTAAGAATTATTAATGGGCAATTATTATAACAGTTCGAAGTGTGTTATAATAATCATTATAAGTGGGTTAACTTTGCTAATAAATACAGTGTGGTCGCCGATAAAGTACCTACACAATTTATTTTATGACGAAAAGTCATTCTTTATAAAATTGCAACAATATATTCTTTTAAAAGATATGTTTGATTTATTGAACAAAACTTATATTTAAAAAATTCTTACATCACATTTTGTATGTGTTCTTAGATCACATTTAAAAATTTGATTTAGTTTTTATGCCAAAGTTATATTTTTTATTTAGTTAATTTAAAATATTTGCTTCTTATATTTGTATTTTTTTTGCTAAACACACATTTTAAATTCGTTTCATTAATAATATAATAATGTAATATTTTTCATTCAGATTGAAAGTTTGGACACCCCTGGTATTCCAAACTAATTATGTCGCTAGATGGCGCCACAATCACTGGGATCTACGACGTACGTGAGTCCGATTATGATTATGCAAATGTAATAAAATTTACTAATAATAAAATCGAGACTCTTTTACTGCAGCCAAACCAACCCAAACTCAACAACACAACCCAACCGACAAAGATACAATAACTTATTTCGTATTGCTCTAATATTCAAAATGTATGATTTCTTAAAATTCTTGCAAAAACCCCATTCTAGACTAACAGTGAAACAACCAAAAATAAAAAATAATCATATTCAGTTGGGGGACATCTCAATATATTCACCCAAATATAAGAAGCAAATATTTTAAATTCATTAAATTTCAAAATTAAAAATATGTGTCAAACAAAAAAATACAAATATAAGAAACAGATATTTTAAATGCAATAAATTAAAATATTACTTTGTCATAAAAATGAAATCTAATTTTTAAATATCTATGATATTTTTAACTCGCAGATTAAACATGTCCATGTGATATTTTTTATTTATACATATTTTAAAAATTAATTTTTATGTTTCTTAGGATATCTTCATTATTTTTTTCAAAAGATTCTGGACCCCCGTATAATGTACCTACTGTTTTTTATTTATTTTGTATTTTTTTATATTAAATTGTTTATTTGTTGCATATCTTTATGAATCTGATTAGAAAATACCTACTTGTAATTTGCACACTGGTTAAAAATAGATACTTAATTTTAATAGGTTGTTTAAAATTAAATATTGAATTTTATACCTACTTTAATGTCTGGTCCATTAATGAGGTACAAATATACATGAATTTTAAAACATCTTTACCATTTATTACAAATTTAAGTGTTTTGTTTTAAACCAGTAATTTTTCAGTATAAACAGTAGATTTGGAGAAAATAGTACTTAACTTTTTATTAAAAAAATATTAATTTTTTTAGTTAAGGGCTACAAATTTTAGGTAATTTTAAATGCTGTTATATTACTTTTAAATTTTAAGATACCTACCTACTGTAGGAAACAGCACTGACATAAAGCCCATTATTTTTCCCTCTGACTGTACGTACAATAATTATAAATTTAAAATAATGCATGTTGTTTGCCACAATAAAAATAAAAATGTGATGACCACTTAAAACATAAATGATTTTTTCCTGACGAGTAGTTTTCAAGTCATAACATTTTAAAAACGGATTACCGAATATATTATTTGGGCTGAAGTTAGCTTTTTAAGCTAACTTAAAAGTTATAATTGAAATTGAATCCGTGCGGCAATCTCGGCTTTCTCCCACTAGTCGCACAATATACTATTTTTAATGATTGGCTGTCCTAAGTGATTGTACGTGCCTTCTAGATACTTTTGTTTCCATTATTTTTTATACAAAGTTACTCAAAGAAACACGTAGATAATAATAAAAAATGCACTTTGAATGTATAACAACCTATTAAGGAAAGCAGTTAAAGTAAAATAAAATAGACCAAATAAATGGTAAAGTAATTTTTTATTGGACTTGTGTAAGATAACAGTAAGTATTCAATTATTTACTCACATTATAGATAATTACAATTTTAAAAACCTTTTACAAATGATTTGAAAAATAAGTTACCTATTTTAAGTTTTTTTTATCAGAAAAACTGATTAGAAATATAATCTTTTTGAAGGTTATTGCAACAAATTTGTTACAATATTTTTGGTATGTAAATAAGCTTATGCAGGTAATATTAATTTTTATACCTGAGAATGGTATTTTTTCGTATTTGCAATCAAAATACTTTTTAGAGGTACCTACGTATTTTACAACCCAATAAATAATGAGTTTAGGAAATTTTTGTTTATAAATATTTATTCAAAATTATCCGCTAAAATAAGTGCCTAATAACTTTCTTTGAACGAATTTTAACAGTTTTTTATTGCAGATAATAAACATTTTTATCAAAAAACAAATATTACCGCATAAATTGAAAAATTTCAATCAATATTTTTAATACCTACTATAGTTTACAGCCTATATGGTCAAGCATATGACTCAAAGGTCATTGAAACAACAAAGTGCTCATTTAAAATTTTAATCAAAACTATAATATTACAAGTAAAATAAATTAAAATTAATTTTGTCCCCATTGACGCAACTTTGGCATTGTACTTAAATAACACACCAATGTAATGTATTTTGTTACAAAGTTAAAATGTTTAATTTTGTTTCAAATTATAAAAACTATGCAAAGCAAATATCAATGTGGTAAATAATTATGTATAGTACCTATACAACATTCTACTTAAACACCCTGTATTTTGGAAAGTAAGCAATATTTTGCATAAAAATATATCACAATTTTAGCTCCCCAGGTGACAAAATACCACCTGTTAAAGTTCCGATACCTAACATAGTTGCTTTGTTAAAAAATGACAATGCATCATCACAAACTTTGTGACAAAGACAAAGGTCTTCAAGAAATCATAACATAACCTTGAATTTTGCCCTCACCAATTAAAAATTGGACCACAAACTCATTAAAGACACGGAAAATAAAAAAATTGTGTACGTACCGTCATAATGAAAACAATTTGTTAAAACACATCAAACTCTTTAGCCGATCAACAATGCTATAAGGTTAGAATTTTACGAACGACATAAGATAACATTTTAAACTAATTTCATTTATCATGAATTTATTTATCACTGTAAACAATAAATTATTTAAGCAATGGTCAGGCTAAAACGAGATTCATGGGGCTGCACTTGTCGCAACTGATAATAGATTTCTATCGTTGATGTATTTTCATCGTCATTTGCGCATATAGGTTAACTTTGACAGTTCTAAACGTCAGCGTCACGTTTCTATGGTAACCCACTCAGATGGGATTCTGAATGTAGGCAACCCAGATTACACAAAAGAGTTCGTTTTGTTCATAATTTGTTTGTTTTCTTTTATAATTTATGGTTTGTCTTTTTTAAAGTGTTATAAACATAATGTGATGGTCATTATTAGTTTACTTGTTTTGATTTAAGGTGGTATTGGGTGATTACTTCAACTTTTAACTAAAGTTAAGTAAAATAAAACTCTGGTTTTATAAATAAAATACGTTTATAATATATAAAAAATAATGTATATAAATGGTATAAAAATGGGTGGGTATATATATTTAGGTTGTTAAATTTAAGATGTTATAGGTGGGGAATCCATATTATCAGCTGATTTGGAATCAAATGAGCTAATTACTATATTAATGGCTACTATAATAACATTTAGGCAAAACACAATGTTGTTGGATTTATTAGCATGTGCTTGGTCATCTTCCTCATTTATATCTAATTTAACACCCAATAGAATACAAAGACACACCATTACAACCTAAAGTAAAAAGTTTTTTAGTATTAGGTAGACTGGGCCAAAAAAATTGACTAAGTATTTTTTTTGTAAAGTATATCGAAAATATTGTTTGGGGTAACAAAAAAAATTATTGTGAAAGTTTTAGTCCATAATATTAATATTAAGAGGTCTATCATCGCAATTTTAATTTTTTTTTCCTGAGCGAGTTTTTGTCTCAGAACTCCCAAACCATTGAGTTTAACAAAATTGACTTTAATATATTTTTTTAAGGAAATTGAATGCTCTACAAAAAAGGTCTAAATGAACCGTTTCCTTAAAATCATGCCTTAAAAATTGGTTTAGTTTTACAATTTGATCTTTTAACTTTGGAATTTTGTAATTCATGTAACCCGAAAAAAAACCGATAGATATTCTTATGGGAAATCAAATGCTTTACAGAAAAGTCTCTGAACATTTTTGGCCAAATTCACTCAATCAAAAGTTATTCAAGGTTAAAGTTGAAGTCAAAACGAAATTTTTGTTTTTTCCTCTGTAGATTTATTTTTTTATGGATTATAATCGAGGGGTCAACCACCCAAAGGGAAAACGTCCAGGGATTCCCATGTATTCCCATTATATTTTATTGTATTCCTATGTATTTCCATTGTATTCCTATGGTATTCCCCCTCTAAAATGTCCAGGGATTCCCAGGTGTGGGTGACCCCTCGATTATAATTTGATTTTTTTCTTTATAAATGTGAATTATATAACTAATTATTAATTTCCAATAAACAGTGAAAATGATATTTTCTAAAGAAAATAGCTTTTTAAAGCGAAAAATTTCGAATATTATAATTTTTTTTTAATTTTCAGTAATTTTATCAATAACATAAAGATTATCATTAATAATAGAATTTTTTAACTGACCCAAAAAAAATGTACAGGGGAAAAAACAAGAATTTCGTTTTGACTTGAACTTTTACCTTAACCCTTTCAATACGACTTTTCGGAAATTAATTTAAAACTTTTTTATTAGTGTTAAAACTATATTTAGGTTAAAAATAGTTAATTGACTGAATAACAGATTTTTAACTTTGGTGGTATTTGAAAAAAAGGCCTGGGACAGATTTATCCCTGCAGTAATATGCCCTGGGATATATTTATCCCCACACTAAAGAAATTCTACTATTTTTGAAAATGTTTATTATCAAAAAACACTGATGGGATAAAACTATCCCCTGTCATATTACTGCAGGGATATTTTTGTCCCAACGTATATTTTGAGGAATGAGTTGTGACGTACAATGCACATAAAGTATCACAAAAATTCAAGCAAAATTTACACAAAAACTGCACAAAATAGGTTATGTGACTGGTCTTTTTCAATTTAGAGCTTGCAATGGCCGAAAAACAGCTGGTTATTGTTCACGTGACGTTAAATAAATTAAGTTTTTATTACTGATATCCCAAGTCAAGACATAGAAATACTAAATTGTCCCGACCCTGTTTTATTTAAACTCACTTAATTAAGTAGAGACATTTTTTAATTTTCTTTGGGACGTATATATCCCCGCAGTATTGAAAGGGTTAAATAACTTTTGATGGAGTGAATTTAGCCAAACATGTTAAGAGACTTTTTTGTAGAGCATGCAAAATGCCAAAGATCAAAACTATACCAATTTTTAAGGCATGATTGTAAGGAAACGGTTCATCTGACGGGAAATTTTCAGACCTTTTTTGAAGAGCATTCAATTTTCTTCAAAAAATATTTTGAAGTCAATTTTGTTAAACTTAATTGTTTGGGAGTTCTGAGAGAAAAACTCTAAAAAAATCGAAAATTAATAATTATTTTGTCACCCCAAACAATATTTTAGAAAAAAAATAGTCGATTTTTTGTCTAAAAAGTCTAATAAGTATTTCTGGTAATGGACATTTTTTTTACTCTAACAGTATTTGGGCAGGTATTAATTTAACACATTTTTTTTAAATTTATATTTAAATTTTTTTTTACAAAAAATATGTACAAAATGATTAAACAAAAAGTTTTCTTGTAAAAAAGTGTAAGAAAACATTTTAATGATTTACAAACATGAATATGTATTTTTATATAATTTTTTTAAAGGTGTATTTTTTAATTAAAAACTAAAAAAAACGTCATGGTTGCTAATAAATACTACTTGCTAAATTCTGAAGTCCAGGAAATCAGGATTTTTTATTAATTTTCTTGAAAATAATTTCATATTTCAGGTCCTAAAGGTAATAACAATAATTTAACAAAATTGAAAAATTGCGAAAACTGTTGTTGTTAAATTAATGTTACACTCCTGCCAATGTGTTATTGTTGCCTAGTAGAGAATTTCCTATCTGACCAATAACATCCCCTATAGGGCTAGTACGGTTCAAATCAAAACTATTTAAAAGAATATTTATAACAACAAGAACAACATTTAAACATAATAGTGCGTTGTTGTACTGATCGGCTCGTGGACAATGAGAATCCCTGTTGATGTTGTATTGAGATCCCAGCAGTACGCAGACACAGCCAATCACAATCTTCCATGGACAAAAACAAAAAAATAACGGAAATAAACATAAAGCAACAAAAAATAACAAAGTAAAAAAATAACGAAATAAATAATAAACAAAACAAAAAGCAAGGAAATTAGTAAGTAATAAAGCAAATAAAATGGTTAATGGGTGTTAGCAAGACTTGTCTTTCCATATTGTTTGACATTTGTTTTTGAATTTTGACATGGATGGCCTACTAAATGTTAAATACACTCACAGGCAAAATAATCGATCCACACAAATTTTTGATGAATTTCAATCGCAAATAACTTTTTTATTTAATTTCGGATTTAAACAAATATTAAAGGATATTGTAGATACATTAATGGAGAATCGCTCACATTTTAAAAAATACTAAAAAATACACGTACGTTTATAATATACAGGTTTAAACAAAAAGATGTGTTTTACCATAAGTTTAAGACACTCTGTAGAGTGGCAAAACCGTATATTGTTCTAAATTAAGTTTTAATTATCAAGTCACATCTATTTTTAACAGTTTTGTTTTTGGTTCATCTTGATATATTTATTTTTGTGAAAATTATGGATTTTTTTAAAAAAACATTGCAATTTCCAATATTTTTCCTGTGTGAAGAACTAAGGTTGCTATGGTCCATCCATAGCCTATGGAGAATGACAGTGACAGTTTTGTTGAATCATCCCATACTTGGACATGTCATATACAGCTTTCAAAAGCTATCAAATTGTTTTTTGTAAATTAATGTGTTAGTTTTGAGGTGTCTTCTTACTTTTAAAAATGTCTCCGACTGATGTTGCCCTTTGTACTTTATTCTTATGACGTTTAAAACACTTGCCACGTAATACTGTGACCGTCCATCCTGGATTAAATTAATGGCACTGGCAACATCAGTCGGAGACATATCCATTTTTTAAAGTAAGAAGAAACCTCAAATTTTAAACCTTAATTTGCAAAAAACAATTTGATAGCTTTTGAAAGCCGTGTATGACATGTCCAAGTATGGGATGATTCAACAAAACTGTCACTGTCATTCTCCATAGCCTATGGATGGACCATAGCAACCTTAGTTCTTCATACAGAAAAATATTGGAAATTGCAATGTTTTTTTAAAAATCCATATTTTCCACAAAAATAAATATATCGAGGTGAACCAAAAACAAAACTGTTAAGAATAGATGTGACTTGATAAATAAAACTTAATTTGGAACAATATACGGTTTTGCCACTCTACAGTGTCTTAAACTTATGGTAAAAAACATCTTTTTGTTTAAACCTGTATATTATAAACGTACGTCTATTTTTAGTAATTTAAAATGTGAGGATTGTCCATTAATTTATCTACAATATTCTTTAATATACGCTTAAATCCGACATCGAATAAAAAAGTTATTTGCGATTGAAATTCATCGAAAATTTGTGTGGATCGATTATTTTGCCTGTGAGTGTAGATTCAATTAGCAAAAACAAAAACAAAAATCAAAGTGACTCAGCTCGCAGGATCTTGGTGGCCAAGTTTATCTCTATTCGATAGAATCACTCACTCACCAGGATGCACTGACTATTTAATTATCAAACTATTTAGTCACAACGATGATTTGGTACATTTTAATTGTCAAATATTGTGTCTTTGGTTGCCAGAGCCGGATCCAGGCCAAAATTCATTTTAATGACATCGCAAAATAAAGCCCCGGTAACAAAACCCAAAGAAACGTAATTCAAAATTAAACCAATAGTTTCTGTTTTTTCTGTTTCGTAGGATGCCAGAACTGAGACAATTACCGCCAAAATGGCTGCGGTCACCTGTCCAAAACAAAACAAAAATTAAATACATATCTAAAGTCTCTATGGTAACGGAAAAGTGCCGAAAAATGTAATTTGTTTTTATGAATCATTTTAAAGATAACATGGTTTCTAGATTCTTATTTTGAGTTTTGGCCACACCACGATACACAAAATGTT